GCACTATTTATATGTTTTAATTCTCCAACCAAATTAGGCAACAAGCAGACGAAACAGCCAAAAGATTAAAAATGTTACACTCAAATAATAACAAGATTGATAAAATTGTTATATCATCAATGGTCCGAGCGAGGGAAACTGGTGAAATCATTCTAAAGCAACTATCGGGCGTCCCATATGAATATTGTGACTTCTTAACGGAGGGCGCTCCGTGCATACCTGAGCCCCCATCATCGTCATGCAAACTTGAAAGTTATGTAAGAATCAATATATATGCTTATTTTACTCTGCATGTCTTAATGCCAGTTGATTTTACTCGTCAAAGGTAGAGCACTGGTAGGTAATGAGTTTATCAGACTATCTGCCTATATGTCTATATGGTTAAGTTGCATTGAACCCCAGCAGAGCGTGAAATAACGGCCGGTCAACGGACAATGTCCGGCCAGATTCTTACCTTGCCGGTCATTTTGACTGGTCACTTTAACTAAAAAATAAAGTTGTCAAGTATTATAATTAAGAACCATAACATGTCGAATGTTTTGCGGGAAAACAACTTGGCTTTTGAGTTAAGGCCATGCATGCTTTTGGCCTAGTGCAGTGCAAGCTGTTTTTTGTGAAGGAGTTTTTAATTACTGATTACAGTGATGATAAACTAAGGCTAAGTAAGTAAGTCTTTTTGTAATGCTCTACTGGAAAAATAGTCACATTTATAGGGGTACACTTTACTAGGCTTTGCTTTAAGCTGAATAATTTCACCGACCAGAAATTCGGTATGTCCGAGCTAAAATTGAATTGGCCGGTCACCTTGACCGGCGACCCTCCAGCTGTTGTTTTGCACCCTGCCCGGGCCTGCCCCAATGTGCCCGACTTTATCATTCAATTCACTCTGTCTAACACCAGACAATTTTACTTGTCAAGAGGAGAGGGGGAGGTAAATAGGTTTTCGGATTGTCGGATTTCACAGAAAAAATTGTCCCGATTTCGGATCTGGCGAATGTTTTACACAGATTTCGGATCTTATTAATACAGCACATTGCGGATTTATCTAATATTTTGGCTCGGATCGCGGATTTTGCTTCAAATCAGCGGATTTGTATACCCCTATTCACCCCCCCCCCCCCCCCCCCCCCAGGAGACAAAATTCCCCAGCAAAAGGCACTTATAAACCTTGCTAAAACAAATATGATTGATTTGATCTAATTTCATTTTTTGAGGAGGTATTTCAAGAAAGTGCTCGTATTGAAGCGGCATTCAGAAAATATATCCACAGAGCTGAGCCGGAACAAAAGACTGACAGTATTGAGGTCTACGTTTGTCATGCTAATGTTATACGATACTTTGTGTGCAGGTAAGCACTGTAATCATACTCACTTACACACTGTAACAAACCTGCAGCAGACTTTAACAATACTATTCCAACAACTTCCTAGCCTGCATGACAGGCTAATTACTCCCCAGCATGTTGACAAGTTGTCAATGCAACAACTTAAAAGTTGTCGTCTTGCTGCCCAATTCAACAACTTGTTAACAGTTGTGTGTGACAACCTTGTGGCAACTTTATAAAATAATAGCATTGTTATAACTTGTCGACAAGCTTGCTACAAGCCCGGGCTTTGAGAATACATCTTGTTACCAAGTTGTGAGATTTTTACTTGACGCTGTACAATATTCATGAAACGTGTCAATTATATTCCTTCGTTCATATGAGGAAATTTTTGCTACAGTAATTTGCAACACATTTTCTGACATAGAGCAGGGCCGTAGACACCGGGGGGCTTCACCCC